ATGGACTTTCTTGTTATCATGATCATAATGTTGTTTCTTTGGCATGGTTGGATTCCAATCAAATTGATTGAGACTTTGGCTTTCGTAGGAATTTAAATGATAGAGAGTCTTCGAAATTAGTTTTGCATTTGCTTCTTTCCTTAATCCTATCACTTTGAACCAAGACTCTTTGGAGAAGTTGGTCATTGACCCATCAGGTTCTTTCTCACATAAATCATGTTTTGAATCTCTGATGAATAATTCTTCCATTACTCTTTTTTTATCCGGCATTGAAGATTTGAAAGGTTAAGGTGCCTATGAAAGTGCAAGTGTGTGCATGGGTGATTGCTCATTGTAAGGTTAATACCTATGATGTGATACAAAGGAAGAGGTTTTACACTAATCTATACCCACAATGGTGTTATATGTAGAGTAAGTTGTGGACGTGTGGCCCATTTATTTACATTGTTCTATTGCTATATTCCTTTATAATAAATTATTTGAGCTGGTTGGGGTTTGTTGGGTTGCCCCGTAATCAATATCCTCCATTTTTTTTTATAAGAAACAAACTTTCCAGTGATAAGTAACAATTATAAAGTGTAAGAGGCCCAAAAAGATGACCCACACTATTGCAACCAAATCTTCCTTCACATCTCATATCCCTTCTTTCGCATCTTCTTTATCTTCAAAAATTCTAACATTTTTTTCCAACCAAATGACCTACATTATTGCAAAGAACAAAGTCCCTTTCACCACCAACCAAGCCTTTATATTCAATTAAAAAAATGGAGGATATTGAATGCCCCCAACGAACTCCCACCATCTCGAATAATTTATATCAAAGAAATAATGCGATAGAGCATTGTAAAATAAATGGTCCACAACACTCTTCCTAAACCAGAAGACGAAACGGAGAGACCGATTCCCTGGTGGAGATTGAGAACCGTTTCTGGCCAGTTAAGCTAATAAATCAAGCACTTTTTGGTCATAAAGGCAATGTAATAAAACGTCAATATTGATTCGTCCATAATTAGATGAATCTAGTGTAAGGTTTCCTCCTTTGTAATATATAGTAGGTTAATACCTTAACATAAGCAATCACCCATGCACACACTTCGCACTTTTGGAGGCACCTTAACTTTCCAAATCTTCAATGCCGGATAAAAAAGAGGAATAACAGAATCATCAATCAAAGAATCGAAAACTGATTTACACGAAAAAAGAACCCGAAGGGTCAATGATCCAACATCTTTAGTCCAAAGAATCTTGATTCAAAATGATATGATTAAGCAAGGAATGAAGAAAGATAACTAAGAAGACTCTATCATTTAAATTCCTACGAAATTCAAAGTCCTAAGCAATTGGATTAGCATCCGACCTATCCAACAAACAACGCTATGATCATGATTACAAGTCTATATAACCAAGGAAATGAACTTGAAAAAGATGATCCCCCCACCCAAATATCCTCGCAAAAATGAACTCTCAACTCATTACCCACATTGAACTTAACCATTTTAGAAAAACAATGTAACCCTTGAGAAATGAATTTTCAAGAATTTCAGTAACTTCCCCAATCCTCCGTGCTTTTGGATAAGTATAAAGGCATGAGCAGTGACGAAAGGGGGTTGTTCTTTGGAATTGTGTTTTCTTTGCAATGGTTTGAGTGTTGGAAAAATTCTAAAATTTTTGAAGATAAAAGAAGATGTGAGAAGGAATGTGTGGGATCAAATTTATTTACTTGTATCTTTTTGGGCTTCCGTAACGAAGGAGTTTGAAAATATCTCTTTTTTTGAATTACCTCAAATTGGATGGCATCTTGTGGAAGATAACTTTTCATCTCTTGGTTTTTTTTTTTTTTTATGTTTATTATATGCATGTAATAAGGTTGATCTAATTTTCCACCTTTGCTCGGATATTATAAATTTTCTTAACAATGAAAATTTTGTTTCTTAATAAAAAAAAAAGCTGCATAAAGTTCTTTTTTCTACATAAAGCTCTCGTCATTCGTTTGCCTCTCTCGTTACAAAAACTAAACACAACCGTTAAGTTTGATCTCACAAGTGATAACGGATAAATAGTCTTCTATTTTCACCCTCTTCTACTTTTTTATTTAAATGTTAAACCATTAGAGTTTTTATTCAACAGTCTATCAACTTTCCAGTCTCTCCTCTATATCCGTCTCTCTCTAAAAATTAAGATCAAAATACTTCAATTCTCCCACTTCTACTCACAACATCCCAGTAAATTAATAGCCCGCCTTGATTTTAACGATCTTCAATGCTCAGACTATAGTGTACCAAATTCTAATCATATCCCTAAGTTTTATATTTTTCATAACACTTTGATCTACATATATACTAGGCTTGCATATTTTTTGTCTCATTTTTTCAATTTGTTGGATCTTACAATTCTCTATCCGATCCTCTAATCTTCCCTATCAATCCAAGGTAAGATCCCGATATTAAAAACCTTGCATGACTTTCAGCTTCTTCGTCATCACGTGTATAATGGCGTTACTACAGGATAGGGATTGCAAATCTTTCACTTCTTCAACTGTCAATATGCGATGCAAGGGTATAGTTGTGCTTGTGGTTATGGGTTAATGGTACAACGATGTGCTTACGGTTTGATGTGCTTGTGGTTGTGAGTGTAGTTTTGGGTGGGTGGTGCATTTGTGGTGGTTATGGGTGGGTATGAGGTGGTGATGGTGCAGGATTTGCGATGATGGCGGTATATGGGTGATGCATGGTGCCATGGTACTTGCGGGTGGGTGGGTGGTGCGTATGCGATTGTGGTGGTGGTGGTTCGAGGTCTGTGGTGGTCTGGTCCTCTATGGGGCCACAATTTCACACTCAATCTCAGGTACTCATCTCCCTCAATCATCTCTAAAAATTTCACATTGGAAGCACACACTCAAGCTGTGAGTCGAGGTACTTTTCCTTGTAATCCATCTATTGTACGGTCAATTAACATTATCATTTACCCACTTTTAGGGTGTCTCTTAATTTCTTAAATCAAACGTTTGTGTGTTCTCTTTGAAACTGCTGCATCAATTTGAGAGAAACAAATAGTTGCAAGGTATGGCATAGCGGGAATTGAACCCACATCTCATTGAGATGCTCCAGCAAGCACCCCTTTCGGAAGCTTCATTTGTAGGACCAGGGAGAACACTTGCAGGCGTGCAGGCGTTTTGAGTAAACAAAGTTAAATTATGGTCAAGTCATTTGACACTTTAATCTAAGGGCTCGATTTTTGGGAAGACTAAAATTAGACACAACGCTTATATGACACGATACAACTCAATTCTCACCCCTGCCTCCAATCAACTCCTTATTGTAGTAGAACAGCACTTCGAACTAACCCACATTAATGGCTTTCAATACAAAAACTTCACTCTCAACTCTAATGACCTTTTTGGTACAAAGGAATATATAGTGGATGAAAAATGAAGAGAGGAAAATGGAGAAGATAAAAAAACATTCCTTCGTTTAGTATAGAAGGAAAATAGGAGGGAGAGGAAAGATGGGAGGAATCCCTTTCCCCACCGCCCACCAAAAATTTTCCCCCTAAATTTGGGCGGAAAATGAGAGAGAAAAGAGGACCCTAGGCAAGAACAAAATATTTTTACTTTTTTAACCTCGGTCAATTTCGATGACGTAATTTTGTTTTTTGTTTTTTGTTTTTTTTTTTGCGGTGATTCAAGACCCTTCAACGAATTTCCTCAAAAAATTGAAAAAAAAAAAAAAAAAAACCCTTCAACGAAATTGGAACAACAAGACATTCGAGAAGGATTAAACAGCCAAAAAAATGAACTTCAAGAGGAACCTCTCCAGTTTTGTGTGATTCGTTCCCATCTACCAAATGATTTTTCTTTTTCAGTCATCCTCTTCAGTTTTGTGTGATTCAGACCCTCTCTCTCCAAGTGTGTGTGTGTATATATAGTTGTATCACTTTCGTCTTTCTGCCTATATAACTGTAGCAGAAAGTATCTCTCTGGAACATAGAGATGGTCTTATGTTTGTGTCAAATTTATGGTTGCCTACACTGCCGCATAGTGGGCATTGGACATGAGTGGCTGTGATAATTTTGTGAAGGAAGTTTTTTGCCAGTAGGTTTGGCCGAGTAGGATTCCACAAAGAGGGATAAAATAGTAAATTTGGCATGTATGTATTTTTCTTTCCTTTCACTTTTTCCTTTCATACCAAACAATAGAAAATTTATACTTCCAATTTTTTATCCATCGTACCGAACAAAAAGAAAGAAAAATCTATTTCTTTCCTCAAGGGATGGAAAATTCATTCCTTCAATTTTTCATCCTTCCATTTTTCCATCCACCCTACCAAACACACCATAAAATCTGACTCCATAAAACTCATCAAAAGGGAATTCTACCACCTCCAATTTCATGATTTCTCTATAGATCAAACATATAACGTTATACTGGTTTAGCGTCACAATCACAAGCACACACCAAGGGAAATCTACCACCTCCAGTTTCATGAGTTCTCTATAGATCAAAGTATAACCTTATATTGGTTTAGTGTCACAGGCCCACACCAGACCAAAATGCCATACCCATTAGATGGTTTCCCGGCAAAGGGATCTTATACAGAAGGGGCACTCTTTACCCTGTGGAATATAACATTATCTCCCAACCAACCTCATGACACCCCCATCACAAACTTGTCCTGCTAACTTTCGTGTGCAGACCCTTGGAGTGGCCCCCTCTTGGAGACCCAATGGCTATGCGACACCCAGTACATTTTGATGCCCACGCCCACCAAAGGAACAAAATCTATTATGTCATTTAAGTGCTTGTCCTAGGGTCCTATATATGTAAGACCCTTTTCTTTTTCTATTTTGCGGGTTACCATCATATGATCTGAGGCCCACACGTTACAGGGCCATAGCCAGGTACCAGATGTTTGCAACAGTAGCTATGATTAAGGAAGAGAAGCTTTCTTTATTCCCCCATAATCATTTTTGTATTCAAGCCTTGTCTACCTAAGCTTACTTTTCTATTCAATAATTCTAACAACTGCAATACAAAAAACACATTAGTTATAACAAAAGCATCTTAGAGAATGCAACCATCTCCAATTTAGGAAGAAATAACCATAAAGATGCTACAAAGAATAGACAGCAAACTGATAATTTTATGCATTTAAAAATGGTAAATGTAAAAGCCAAGGGTTCAAAAACAGATTATAAGATAACGAACACACATGTTGCAATGATGATAACAATGCACGCAAATTTCCTTCTTTTCCTGCAGCCCATCGCTTGATATCATCACCAAGAGTTTCAGCAAGCCTCTGAAATCATGCAGTTCAAGTTTAAAGAAAACAAACTAAGCCACAAAACTTTAAGCAGCTACACTGTGGGGATAGAGAGAGAAAGAGGGAGAGGGCGAGAGTGTGTGTGTGTGTGTGCGCAAATACACGAATAAGTGACCAGACCCATCCCATTCCCTGCCCCTCTTTTGTCATATCTTTCTCTAATTAAAAAGGATAAGCAGTCTTGTGAAATGCATGCTGTTGTTTTAGGACCACAATTATAGATACTTACATGCCTCTCTTCTTGCTCCCGCTGAGTCTTAAGATCACGCTGATTCTTTTCAGCCAGTGCATTAGCCTGATAAGACAAAGTGTCGGAAAACATAAAGCACCAAGCATAAGGTAACAATCAAAACGAACGTACACATGTCAAGAAAGTGTCACATAGTTCCTCATTCTATGTCATCATAACTGAATCAGCCGATATCATTCCATGATACTAAGATATGAACTGAAATGACTAGGCCAAGTAATAATGGTAACAATGTTTCTTGTAAAATGAAGTAGTAAAACTTGATGCAGCATGAAATGAGGAAAAACCCACATACCATGCGTGTGTGGGTCCTCATATGATGGTTCAATCTTGCTCGCCGTCTTTCTTCACTTTCCCCTTCAATTTCCTGAAATTTCCCATGTGAAGCGGTAGCTTCTGTGCCAAGAAAAATAAAACAACCAAAAGATAATTAGCATATAAGGAGATGATGCTTCGATATAACATGTCCATCCTATAATGAGAGTTTCATTCCAACAATGAGGTTACCTCCAAAAATGGGAGAAAAGTCGTCAAAAAAATTGGTTACAGAGACAGCCTTCTTTGTGCTGGATGGCATCCCAGAAGTAGTCTGTTCCACTACAGATCCTCCACTCTCTGGGAAGAGTGTATCAAACACAGGGTCCTGGAAGACAAAGCCATTTGCCTTAATCTGCCAATATCCACCAAAGCACAAAACTATGACAATACTTTTTGCAGCTCTAGGTTTTCACCTTAGTTGGAGACCTTGACCTTGCCTTATCACCCATACTAAAAATTGAGTCAAGGTCGTTTTCAAACCCAATTGGAGACAGAACTGATCTCTGTCTGGCATCTTGATCCAGTGGATCAGAAAACAGCACAGAAGAAGTATATGACTGTGAAGAAGATGATTCTAAGACTACAAAGGGGTCTTCTGCTGTAGCGGAAGTTGATTTGGATGAATGACCGCTCGAGTGCCAAAAGCGAGTTGTCTCCGATTTTTCTCTGTGTGAAAGGAAATAAAGAATATGACAATACAAGTAAAATATTGTAAAGCAAGACATTATTAGTGAAATCCCTGAAAAAAAGTTGGGCCACAGAAAATAGACAGCTAGTTGATGAGACGCAAACCATTCAACTAACAAATAATTTCAGAAATGCATTCAGTTGGTTAGAAAACAGCAGGCAGCAATAATAAAACATGACAGTCAAACTGATGATAAATTAACAGCAAACATGCACAGGTCAACCGGAATGTTACAAAACATTATGATCTCAAATCATCCCAACTTTGTTTACTACAAGACTGTAAAGGTGCATAATCTCTATATGCGTTGAGAAGAACCTTCAGAATGGAGGTGACAGATTCTGCAATGACATGAAATGGCACAACCACAGAACAACAATACCACCGCTTTTGAAACTGGTTATACTTTTTTCCATCATAATCTTGGGGACAACTTGTTGAGTACAGATTTATTTCTTCGTCTTTACATTTACAAAACAAAATTAAAAACATACAAATAAGTTGTGATTTATTTTATGGGCGAACGACAAGAATTGAAACCACACATGGTGGATCCACAATCCACTGCCTTGATCCACTTGGCTACATCCGCCCCCTCTATTAGTCTTTACATTACAAAATATTCAATTTCAACCATTCAGCATTATTCCCTTCTTTTTTTTACGATAAAAATTCTAAGCAAAAATTTCTCATTTTTATCTTTTTTTATTATTTAAATATGCTAATTTCTACAAATCATCTATGCTTTTCAAAGACATCCCGTGATCACATAGTAAAGAGAGCTTATATCACACATCGAATAAATAGAACCCCAAAGGTTGGTTTATATGATAAAAGGGTGTCGCCCCTCATTGCCGATTGGTTTTGAGTTGGATTCTCTAATAGAAATGATATGGGACATCATGGGGAAACCACTTACACTTGTGGAGGGTCAATTCTCAATAGAGGACCACTTGAATGAGATTTAGTTGACCCCACATATTTCTAACAGGATAAATGGCAGTAATCAGATTTGTCCATTGCACTAAAGCTATCTTGCCAAATTTATATATCAATGTTGTGGCATTTTTTGAAACCCCCTTATCTCATGGTGGTGGTCACTATAAAGCATTTGATGAGAGAAATATTGGTCTGTCCAATATTAGTGTGATTTGCTTAATTATCGCAAATGGGGCATGTTAGTATCTTCTATGACGTCTAGTGTATATGTTATGAAGTGCTTGGGTCTGGGATCATCAATGCTCACTCGTGCCAAGGTCTACTTGAGTCTTACTCAAGGATTAGAAACTTCTTTATTTATTTGACTTGACAAAGAAACCAAGTTCTACCATGAATTTTAGGGCAGATAAAAAACATTTCAGAGCCAAATCAATAGCACGCAAATTGGCAAAAGTATACAGATTCAGCAATTAAATTCACATTCGTACATACCCAATACTTGAAGGGCTGCTTCCACCAAACCCAGGTATCAAACCATCGAACCCAGAACCTTTCTCCTCTGCTTTCCCTGAATTCCTCTTGGAATCATTAGAATTCAACCCCATGCCACCGAAATCTCCAAGCAAATCATCAACTGAATCACTCTGCCTTGGCGGGGACGCCATTGACCCAAATACATCATCATAATTCCCCGAAACCGGGCCCTTCGACCCCGTAAATTCACCAAAAATATCATCATCGCCACCATGACCGTACAATTTTGACTTCGAATTTGAATTCGAATTAGTTGAACCCTTATGCATTGAATCCAAATCGAAAATAGATCCATTGCCACCGCCAACATGACAGTCCGACGAGTTCGAATTAGAAATGGGTCCCCCAAATATATCATCAAAGCCACCAAAATTCTGGGTGGCTTGCCTATTATTTGAGCGTAAAAAGCCATCGAGATCATCAACAAAAGACCCATTAATAGAATCTGAATTCTGTGCCGATTTTGGTCGGTTTATCGAAGATGGCTTGGTGTTGAAACCAGAATTTAGGCCCAAATTCTGGGGAAACCCATTGTTCAGGTAGGTTTTCCCCTTTAAATTGGCCATTGGGGCAGATTTTACAGGTGTTTTGAACCCAATACTCTCCACTAAAACTCCAAACTCGTCCATGTTTAAAATGGGTTTAACAGGATTTGCGAGATTAAGAGAGATTTCTTAATGATTGGGCTAGGAATAGACCCTTAGCAAAGAAAGTAGGTAGAAAAAAAGTAGGTGTCTGCGTGTTTGTCTATATATGTATGTGCGAGGCGATGAGGCAGAGAAATGGGCGCGAATTGAGTGAAGAAGAAAGGAAGGGCGAAGAAGATGATCAACCAAGAGGAAATGAAGGAATGTCTCTCCCTCTCTCTCTCTCTCCCTCTCTCTTCAAGTGTGGAGCTTCGTAGAAGGAATGTCGCCTTGTCAGCTCCCAATAATACCTGAGGGGAGAAGCTGTCAACGGTTTGAGGGAAATTGTGGTGGGCCTCCATATGGCGTGTTCCGTGTTTTGTTTCATTAATTCATTTAACCACTCTCGTTCAACTTTTTACTCAAAAATTTTAATTTTTTTTTTCAATAGTAGAAAGATGTTCAAATTAATTTACAAGCGTATTAGTTAATCATTTTCTTAGTTCAGCCAAAGACATACCATTCACATTAAAGTCTCTTATGATTTGATTTTAAAAAATTGTCAAGATTTAAATTTAAGACGTCTAAATTTATAACTTATCTTTATTACTACTTGAAGTACCTTTTAAGATTTTACTTAAATTTTTTCTCAAATTTAAGTTAATATTTGTATAAAAAATTTAAATTGATGCAAAGTATTCCAATAAAGCACCTTAAAGTTAATAAAGGACAACCAAAAATTTAAACCAGGACAAACTCAAATTTAAAAGATAATAGAATATGACCATTAAATTTTTTTTTAAAAAAAATAAAATTTAATCATTTGTTATTTAAATAAAAGTTTGAACCTCCCTTCATTTGGATAATATTTTGAATATACCTTCATTTGGTATGAGTATAGGTATAGGATTAGAAAAGATTTTTAAGAGTTTTTTTTATCCAAATTTAAATTTAAGTTTAAAAAAGAATAAGGGGTGAAGATACTAAGAGCATTTCCCACCCTTACCCATTTTTGCACCTTTTTTACAAAAAGGGTAAAAATATTCTTAAAAATTCTCTAGAGCTTTCAACTATGACTCAAAATTTTATTCAAATTTAAATTAACATTTAAGTAAAAAACTTGATTTGATATAAAGGGTTTCAATGGACAAACTCAAATTTAAAGAATGAGAAACTCAAATTTAAATGAAGGCAAATCTAAATTTAAAAAAGAGTAAAGATAATCATTGAATTTTTGAAAGATATTAAAGATTTGAGTAAGGATTTGAGTCTCCCTTGATTTGAGTAAAAAATTGAGTCTCCCTTAATTTGGTATAAGTTTGAGTCAAGGTTGAAGTAAGTTTTTTATATTTTTTTACTCAAATTTAAATTTGAGTCTAAAGTTGAGTAAGGGTTGGAGATGCTCTGATATTAAACTCATACTCATACCAACCGAAAAAAACCTCGTTTTTTAAACTCAAATCAAGGAAGACTCAAATTCTTACCTTCTTCACCAATGGTGAGATTATGCTCTTTTTTAAAGATTTAATGGTTATATTTACCCCCTTTTAAATTTAAGTTTGTTCTCATTTAAATTTAGGTTTTTATTCATTTAAATTTGAGTTTCTTCAATGAAGAGGTTTAAAGGAGTGTGAAATCTCACAATTAAATATTTGTGTATAGATTTAAGTTTTCCTTAATTTAAGTAAAAAAATGAGTCTCCATTGATTTGATATGGCTATGGGTTTACCATTGGAAAAAGTTTTTAGGAGTTTTTTAACTAAATTTACATTTGAGTTTTACCCATACCTATATCAAATAAAGAGAAATTTTTTTTTACTCAAATTAAGGGAGACTCAAATTCATCCACAAATCTTTAATGGTGAGATTTCACATTCTTTTAAAAATTCAATGATCATATTTTACTATCATTTAAATTTGAGTTTGTCCTCATTTAAATTTGGGTTTCACTTTCTTTATATTTGAATTTTTCCATTTGAGAGATTTATGTCAAATTAAACATTTTATTCTTTTTTTTTACTCAAATTTAGGTAAGGATTTGAGTTTTCATTGGAGATGGTCTTATCATTGATAATTTGAGTAAATATTTGAGTTTTTATTGATTTGAATAAAAAATTGAGTTTTCGTTGATTTGGTATAAGTTTGGGCATACCATTGGACAAATTTTTTTATTTAAATTAAAAAAATGTCAGGATTGAATATACTATAAAAAAAACTAATAATACTAATAAAAAAAGGCAATGTTAACCACTTGATTAAGAAACTAATAATACCAATAAAAAAAGCAACGTTAACCACTCGACTAAGAAACTAATAATACCAATAAAAAAACACTACTATCAATAAAAAAAAAAAAGCAAACTAAGAATTGCTAAGAATAATGATATTTATATTTAATTATTAATTGTCATTAAAATAACAGTAGATACTATTATTAGTTGGAACTCGCTACCAATTCAATAACTAAGATTAGAGATATTAAAATATGACATAACTCGTTAAAACAAACATGATACGAAATTAGAGCTTTTTTTTTTTGATAAGCAAAAAAAAGGGGTAGGGCAAGACAGAGCGCCCAAATACTATTCCAATAGTCCTTCACTGATAAGATCATGAGGCCTCTAACTGTGCTCGTTACTCCTCTCAGAAACAAACTTAGCTAGACTAATATAACGGTTAACTATTGGGCCTAAATGTGGACTCTAAGATTCAAACCACCAACTTCAAGGTGAGAAATTCGGTTAGTACTCCATTGAACCACCCCACTCAATGGTTGAAATTAGTGAGTGTTTGAGTTTTTTTTAAACCACTTGTTTCGTAAACGAATGGACTCAGCACAACGCGATTAATAAACGAATTAGATATGAATGAAATCAATCAAAAAAATACATTACACTATTCGTTTATATACTTATTATATATAAATAAAATATGACACGAATTAGTCTCAGGTATAAGTAGAGTATTTTTTGATATAAAACCGCTAAATTTTGATAAGAACCCTTCTCATCGAACAACGTTAAGAGGCCGGGCTAAGTTCCATTAGGTCAATAAATAAAGTGAATAAATTATGTCTAAAAGACACTTTCTTATAGGTAATTATAGATGAGGGCAAAATGAAGGAGTACAGATTGATCGGTGAATTACTTTTTATACAAATTCTCCAATTTTTTTTACTTAATGATTTTATTTTTAGCTTAAAACATTTCCAAGAGTTCCATCTAATAAGTGTTGGATAGAGAAGAAATTCCAAAAACAATGTTAAAGCTTTGTACTTTTAAAGTAATTGCTTTTAGAATAAAGTGGATATTATCAGGACAATTTTACAAAAGCAAAAAAGAAAAAAGATTATCTGATTTTTCACTTAATCGACAGAAACGAGATTCTCATGTGAAAGGTGTATAAATGTTTGGACGAATTACACTTCTACCCTTTTAACTACGAGCTCATCTCACATAATATTTGAAGTATTAAATTTCTTCAATGCTACTCTCTCAACTTTTTTTTTTTTTTTAATTAATGGTCAAGGATATTCGAGTAAACATATACACACCTCAACTAACCTTCTACACGCCAGGACTAATGTATTCATGAAAAATAAATCTATCATGATCTGATTCTAAAGAGTTGTCAAAATTTAAATTCAAAATATCTGAGTTTACGACTCATTCCACTCTCAACTATTTGTATAGGTTTTACAGTGTCCTTGCACAAATGTTTATTATCTTTTAATATTTGTGAATCTAGAAAAAAAAGAAAATTAAATTAAATAAATCAAGTGGGAATTTGATAATTGATTGGTAAATGTAAAACTATAAATATAGTGGAAACTGTTAGGGGAAAAGTATGATAGTCGAGGATCAACCTTAGACCAAGTCTACTGTAGAAGGAGTCCAAATATAATTTGTGTTAAATATTTTTGACTTATGATATTTTGTACTTCAAAAGGATTCTTCGTCTTGTATGGGAGGATGGGTGGCCACTGGCCGCATTCTCACAGCTCAGCTGTCGGTGCAAGGAATAAACAAGTAATAACTACAATCAACTTGTATGTCCCAACTTCTGGAAACAGCTTGTCACGTCACCAAAGTGGGTGNTTTCATTGGAGATGGTCTTATCATTGATAATTTGAGTAAATATTTGAGTTTTTATTGATTTGAATAAAAATTTGAGTTTTCGTTGATTTGGTATAAGTTTGGGCATACCATTGGACAAATTTTTTTATTTAAATTAAAAAAATGTCAGGATTGAATATACTATAAAAAAAACTAATAATACTAATAAAAAAAGGCAATGTTAACCACTTGATTAAGAAACTAATAATACCAATAAAAAAAGCAACGTTAACCACTCGACTAAGAAACTAATAATACCAATAAAAAAACACTACTATCAATAAAAAAAAAAAAGCAAACTAAGAATTGCTAAGAATAATGATATTTATATTTAATTATTAATTGTCATTAAAATAACAGTAGATACTATTATTAGTTGGAACTCGCTACCAATTCAATAACTAAGATTAGAGATATTAAAATATGACATAACTCGTTAAAACAAACATGATACGAAATTAGAGCTTTTTTTTTTTGATAAGCAAAAAAAAGGGGTAGGGCAAGACAGAGCGCCCAAATACTATTCCAATAGTCCTTCACTGATAAGATCATGAGGCCTCTAACTGTGCTCGTTACTCCTCTCAGAAACAAACTTAGCTAGACTAATATAACGGTTAACTATTGGGCCTAAATGTGGACTCTAAGATTCAAACCACCAACTTCAAGGTGAGAAATTCGGTTAGTACTCCATTGAACCACCCCACTCAATGGTTGAAATTAGTGAGTGTTTGAGTTTTTTTTAAACCACTTGTTTCGTAAACGAATGGACTCAGCACAACGCGATTAATAAACGAATTAGATATGAATGAAATCAATCAAAAAAATACATTACACTATTCGTTTATATACTTATTATATATAAATAAAATATGACACGAATTAGTCTCAGGTATAAGTAGAGTATTTTTTGATATAAAACCGCTAAATTTTGATAAGAACCCTTCTCATCGAACAACGTTAAGAGGCCGGGCTAAGTTCCATTAGGTCAATAAATAAAGTGAATAAATTATGTCTAAAAGACACTTTCTTATAGGTAATTATAGATGAGGGCAAAATGAAGGAGTACAGATTGATCGGTGAATTACTTTTTATACAAATTCTCCAATTTTTTTTACTTAATGATTTTATTTTTAGCTTAAAACATTTCCAAGAGTTCCATCTAATAAGTGTTGGATAGAGAAGAAATTCCAAAAACAATGTTAAAGCTTTGTACTTTTAAAGTAATTGCTTTTAGAATAAAGTGGATATTATCAGGACAATTTTACAAAAGCAAAAAAGAAAAAAGATTATCTGATTTTTCACTTAATCGACAGAAACGAGATTCTCATGTGAAAGGTGTATAAATGTTTGGACGAATTACACTTCTACCCTTTTAACTACGAGCTCATCTCACATAATATTTGAAGTATTAAATTTCTTCAATGCTACTCTCTCAACTTTTTTTTTTTTTTT